GAAACCTGATGCAATAAGCGAGGGGCTTGATCTTAAACTGCACACTCATTGGCCAAGAACTTGGGACAGACAAGCTGCTAGCCAATGAGTGTTCCCTGGAAAATCATCCTTTATGAAATGTAGAATGACCAAAATGTAAAAAGTAGATTTAATGTTTTATTCATTAAGATCTGAGACAACAAACTCATCAGAAGAATGTCTACAAAAGTCTGTAACCAGGACTCACTTTTCAGTGAATCAAAAACATCCATCTTTTATACGTTTTCTATGTTTTCTTGAAGCCTGATGTGGTCATTGCAGGGACTACAGTTGTCCAAAAGGACGAAGAGACTCGTTGTGCCATGACTAATGCTCTAACGCAAAAACATTTACATCTCCACAATACAGCACCTAAATAGCTTGGACTAATACAACTGCTAGATTAAAATATCTGACTCTTTGATTACTCTGGATATATAGAAAACAAAGAGTTTATCGTTTTTCTTTTTCAGTTAAAAGCATCGGTCTGCTGCAGCTCTACAGGCGGTGGCGGTCAGAGAGCAGTGAAATTAAACTAGAGCAGTTTTTGCACCCTAAAATCAAAACTAGCATAAAAAACTGGTTGACTTGACCTCAGAAGCAACTCATTGCTTGACACTGAGCAGAACATTAGCTCAAACTGAGTAAAGACGTGTTTGCCATTAAGGAGCTAAAATGTAAATCGCTTTACGTTTGAGAAGCACCGCGAGGCATGTTTTTCTTCTCCACCTCTAATGGGCCCGATCCCTGGTTTTTGCTAGGACAAGTAGATATAGCATCGAATGTGGCTACCGCAAGTGGACACAAGTTGTTACACTGACCAGCTTTGTTACTTCAAAGGGCCTTAGCGGCATGAACGAACACACACACACACACACGCAGTAAGGGTAGAAGGAGAGATGAGAGATGTAGGTCTCGTCCGACAGCTGAGATATAGCACAAGAGCCCTGGGGAGTTTCAGGGGATTTCCACCGAGGGAATCGGACACGTTGTCTGATTTACTCTAACACTTTGGCTAAACTTATGATAAAAGTTCACAAAGGAAGCAGCATTACTCTGTCATTATCCGTCTCTACACTCATCTGTCTGCTTTTTCCTCCATGTTGTTGTTTTTTTCATGTGACTGTTGAGGACTGTTTCTTAAATAATAATAAATAATAATAAAAATAATATAAAAAAAAGAACAAAAGAATGTCTTTTGACCTAAAAGTGAAGCTAATAGTGCACGAGGAAGAATGAGAGGAGTGGAAGCAAAGCAGCAGGAGAGAGGGGCTGAAAGAAAACACGTTCATTTTTATCTGGCTGCTTCTTCTTTTTTTCACTGAGAGTCAAGGAATGCATCCAGGAATCTGGTGAGAGATAAAGAAAGGAAGGTGGATGGTACTGTACTGTACTGTGTGTGTGTTTTCTTATTGTGCAAGTCTGTGTCAGCTGGAGCGCGTACACTCCATAATGTTTCATTCATTAAATTTTAAGTTAAAAAATGTTGTTTTAGCCACAAACTGGGCAGGATGTATGTAGGGAAGAAGAAACAGGTCTCTTGTGTGCTCTGGGAGGAAACCCCAGTCAAGGTCAGCTAATGTATAGTCTTAGATTTTGCACATATTTCACTTTAAGTCTTTTGGGTCTTTCTACAACTTATTTTCTGTTACCTAATGTTTTTTTTAAAAAAGACTTGTAGATTATTCTTTGTGAGATAACACCACAGCAGAAATTGGACACAAAATGACAAAAAACAACCACAGAGGCCAAATCTTACTGTATCAAAACAGTCACAAGACATTTAAACAGAGAGAAATTTTCAATCTCACACTTTGAGTACAAAATGTTTCACTGACATTTTCTGTTTTATGACTCCAATATTAATACACTTCAAAGAAAAGAAAGAAAAATATAAACAGTTTCTCGATTCATCCAAAGAGAAGTCTAATATATATCAGTTAATTTACATCTTTCCCCCTATGAAAACAGTTCAGTTCCCATGATGAAGAAGTATTATTTACATCTTGACCATAATGTCTCGGCCACAGAGCCAGTGTGACCCGGCAGACATATTTTAAAGCTCGCAGTGCTGAAAACACTGCCAAAGTCCAGCAATATTTACACACCACAGGGACAAGAGACGACTGAGCTCCAAGAAAAAACAAAAAGTCACATTAATCAACAACAACAACAAAAAAGTTCAGCTTTTTAAATACAGCCGTAAAGTCATGTTTGTGGCAACGAGATATTTTATGCAGACAAGACAAAACACCAAAAGCTTTCACAGAGCGAGTGCTGCAAAGATGCAAGTTATTCTCTTGATTTGATTCTTTCAGATTAAAAGCAGCTTATTGTTAATAGGACGATAAAAAAAATATCTCTCTCTGCATTTAATCCGTCCAGTGAAAGCAGGTTTTATATGCAAAATGGTAACATGTGCGCCTTCTTAAAGTAGTTTTGCAAAAGAAATATTTACAACAGCTGAAAAGGCGCTAAGCTGTAGGTTTGTAGGCCGCTGACTATAACCTTTGACCTCACTCTGCAGCATTGAACAGTTAAGATCTGGCGTCCTCTGGAACACATCCTGGGCATGGAAATGTAAAATGAAAGATTTGCATACATTTTTAGAACATTTACACCCAACGTTTGCCTGAAATTATATTTTATGCAGGTGGAAACACGTTTTACTTTCAAACAAAACTATCAGGTGAAGCTTTTTTGTTTTTGTTATCTCTTCTTGGTTCTCCTGAAACACAGAGAATCTATATAAAACTGATTATGTTGTATGTTATTTACTGTCAACAAATCCCATAAAAAACAC